CAAAAATTAATTTAATTTTTTTTTATAAATATATTCTATAAATCTTCAAATATTAAATATATTTATTTAATTGCAAGATAATATATAAAATTTTGTGTAATTACATTTTAATTTAAATATATCAAGTTGGTATATCATGCTTAATAAGATGACCAATAATAGAGATCTACAAATTTATATATCTGAATTTTAGAAAATTATAGTTTTGAAAAAATAAAAATTTGATGTTTTTTTAATAAAAAGTTCTTGAAAAATAAATTATTTTGAAAAAAATTTCAAATCTTATTTTTGTAATTTTGTATAATTGATTACATTATTTTTAAATTTAACTAAAACTTAATTTGGTTTAGCTATTTTTAAAATAAAATTTGCTATTTTTACTTTTTTTATAAATATATAATCTACAAAAATTTCTCTAAAATTTATTAATAGATTTCAACAGTTTTTATGCGAATCATGAATTAAATATAGAAATAATGCAATATAATATTTTTTTATTACAAATATATATATAATCAAAAATATTAAAAATATAAATAATATAAACCTATCATATAACTAGTTTATATTTTTGTTAAGAATATTATTAACATTACTAGTTTTATTAAAAAATTATTAAGTATTATTAAACCTATATAAGCTTTTTTATAAAACCTAATATTTTAATAAGTTTAACCCAAACCCAACCTAAATAGTAATAAACACAAAAAATTTAAACCTAAACTAAGCTCAAGTCTAACTTGACTTATAAATTTCCTTTAACTTAAACCTTAAGTAAGAAAAATAGAAAACACAATTAGCTATAAATAGTAAGATCAATATGCTTAGAAGTAACGAAGTCTTGAACCTTTTTTACTAATTAAAACAGTTTAAAATTCTGTCAACCAAAGTGTTAAAAACTCTGATTGCAAATGCAAATGTTAACTTTGGTTATAACATGTGAAATAATGCAACAGAATGCATCTGAGCACTGAAAGAGGCAGCTGGATGAGATTGGCATCTGTACATATGAAATATGTTAAAAATGCAATGTATCTCTGAATTCTGTAAAGCCATGAAACACTGGTAAAACAATAAAAATGTGATGACATACTCCGTCAAGTTTGAAAAAAATAATAATAAGAATTACTTGTATAGATATAGCTATACAATCGTTTCAGTAAAAAGCATTGGCAGAACTGTAAGAATAAAAAAAAATACATTATATCGGGTGTATCAAAAGTCCTTGTACATGGTCCCTTTTTTAAATAACTTTATATATAGAGATCACGATGATAATCATCGTGATCTCTATAAAGTTATTTTAAAAAAGGGACCATGTACAAGGACTTTTGATACACCCGGTATATAGAATAATATAAAATAGACGTTATTATAATTTGATATTATGCCAATATAATATAAAAGACATTTATACGGTTTTTTTTTCGAAAAACCAAATTCACTATATAAAATTACCACGTTTTTATATAAAGAAATTTTTTAACTTTAATATTCTCATGAAAGCTCATTGTAACGGTAAGTTATAAAGTTGGCGTGCAGGCCCCTGCATAGTTAAACATTCGAATTATGCGACGTTATTGGTCAATCGCACTCTCGAGAAAAGTAAGAGAAAGTTGGAACGTTTCGCGTGATTATGTTGACATTCTGACCTACCCTAGCCCTTATATGCGTCATCAAATCATGGTTTAATTAGACCCACCTCAAGTGACACAGAATTTTTCCCATTTTGTGTAACCCTCTTATTTCGCCATGCTAACTCAGATTTCAATAATTCGGGGCTACATCCCATTTTGAATTATGGTAATGTGCATTGTGTGCACGTTGATTTGATCATCTGAGAGCACATAAATTCCGAAACGAAAATATAAACATCATATGATTATAACTCATTCGGTGGCTCTTTTATCAGTATCAGTATTATACCATTCCACTTTTTTCGTGGTTAGTGGTATCAAATATCAAATTTATTGGTATAGTTTCTTTTAGTTATAGTATACTTATCGCTGAAACTGTTAATGTTTAATACTGGAAGTAAAAAGTTAATTTTATTTATTTTGGGATTCGGTTCTTGTGATCAAAAAAAACCGGCGTGCTCAATACAGTAAATGGTTCACACTACTGCAGTCACCAACATGAAGGCCAAAAAACAAGCCAGTAAAAAAGTAACAAAAATCGTTAGCACATCCGTGATTCCGCTCTCACAGCAACAACACGTCCAACAACAGCAGCAGTCTACTAATAATCAAAGTTCGCTATCTATATCTCGTAATAAGCATTGGAAATATATCTCGTCTTATCATGGACCGTGGCTTCAGCTTCCTTTGGAACTACTCGAGTCGCTTTATATGATCAATAATGATAATGTTGCCACCCCGCCACCACCAATTGATCCTATCATTTTTGGTAATTTGATATCAATTCGTCGATTAGTCGATGAAGCAGCCGATTTGTCTGTTCGGGCCGCCTCAGGTGTATCAACCACCGGAGGAGGGCCGACAAGAAGCTCAATGTCTCACACACGGCAGCATAGAATGCGTGAGCTTGCAGTTAATAAATTAGCGCTTGCGTACCGAATTGATGAAATTGCTACCGCGGTTGTAACAATGCAGTCAGCTAGTGCAATCGACGAAGTTGCTAGTAGAGTTTTAAAGAAAAATTCAACGAATTTAGAGGCGTTATATGTGAATTTTTTTCATGAAAAAATTCCGTCGAGGTAAATATAAATTTAAAACGAAGATATGGTTCGATTCTTTTCTTAATTGTTTCATAGATATGGGAACAAGGAATTGTAAAGAATGCAGAACTGATTTGATGTAGTAATATAGATAAAAAAATGGCTTGGTACGGTGGATTTCCCAAAAATTTGGCACCCAACCTAATACTTTGCACCACTTTTTATCCACCATATACAAGTAGAATGCTATCGCAATCTACATCCACCGACATACTCGATAAAATCATTGCCACTTCTCCGACGACTCCCGAATTTTATCGTACGCGCGGTGTTGTAAAGTGTTTTAAAGAAGAATTTACCGGTGCTCTCCGAGATTTCAAAACGGCTTTAGCACATACAAAACACAGAAAACGAGTAAATAACGTTTTGTTAGGGAAAAAAACAACACTTCCACTTCATAACCACCATGGCAATGAGGATGATGAATGTACAGGGACCGAGAGCCAATTGTACTTTCTGCGCGCCGCATGTTATTTACAATATGCTATTAGCTTAGTAGATAAAGCCTTCCAAAAAGTTGACGGGGTAGAACATAAAGATGGTGAAGGAAGCGAATTGAGATTAGTAGCGGTTAAAAAAGGTAACAATGGAACCAATAATCAAGGCTCTACTCCAAAACTTGAAGAATATAGAAAAGAACTCATGCCGATAATGCATCAAGTACAAAGTTTGACAAAACGTTCAATAAGAGATTACACTCATTTTTTGGGGTTTTATCCTAGTTCTTTACCACCATTTTCAACTAGTGATGAAGGCACATCCAAGGCCGGCACCCCTATTGCATCACGAGATTCGTCGCCAGTAAGATCATTTAAAGATAAAGATGATAACTTAAGCCCATCTGTTAATATTGTGGACCAACAGGTTGATACAAAAACAACGGATAGGAGTCGTAAACCTGTGGAAAAGGAAGCCAGCTTATCTTCCGATGTCGGAAGTACTATTTCCAATACGTCCGCTTCTATGTCTAAAGACCATAATAATATCCATCACCATTCACATCATTTTCATGGTTATCAACCTCCTCACACTTTTGCTACATATCATCCACTTTTAATCGAAGCTTGGTATGCTATAGCCCTTAACTATGTACTTATCGGTGACCTTCACACTGGTGCTTTGTGGCATGCTCGTATCTCTGAAATGCACGAATGCATTGAAGGTTATCCAGTTTTTCTTCCAGCGCGATCAATGGCGCAAGCAGATTACATGGAAGTTTTAGAACGTGTTAAAAAAACAAATAGCTTGGCACAACATGAAAAATTGAAAGAGTTGGTGGAAATAGTAAAGCAAAAAGAGAAAGAAAGGGAAGAGAAAGAACGAGAGTGGATGGAGAAACATCAACATACTAAAATGCTTTTAGCTTCTGCAGAAGATGACAAAGATACGATAGAAGGAAAGAAACTCTCAGTAAAAATTGGGAAAAAGTCCAAAAACGCCACGCACAATAAAAATGGAAACCCTGTTACTCCAGTTATTGGTATTGATGGTCAGAGACATCATCCGTGTTGTCCTCTCGCACCTGGAAATCATTCATCTTCTAAAGAAAATAACTACAATCATAATCATACCTCTCCAATTCCTCCCTCTGCTACTTCTAATAATAATAGTTCCGGCGGTAATTCTAATGGTAATTCCCATAGTACAGCAGGCGTCAACACCAGTGGTAATACAGGTGGACCAAGGCAGTATCCATTGCATACGCAAAGGGCTGATTCGGTTATGATGTGGCTAAGAGCTATTATCTTAAGACCGAATAATTTATCTTGAACCAGGACATATGTTTTTATAAAATTTTTAAAGTAGCAGTTTAGAATGATATCCAAACCCCTTGGTCTATTGGAGGACGCTCTATATATATCTTTGACAATTTTTTTTTTTAACAAAACTTATCGTAGGTTGTATCAAGGTCGATTGTTTAAGAGTGAAAACTCTTGCAGTAAGTTAAATACTTGAGCCTTTAAACCCAACCATTGAATTGTCTTTGTTTTAAACGAAAAAAACTTTAATAAAAATAAAAATATATTATAGTGCTATTTATTTTATTTTTATTTATTTTTTTATGGCTTTATATCGTGTAATATTGCAAGAATAAACAATTGAATAAGTCAAAGGAATTTAATTGAATCCAAATTTTTGCAAAGAAACTTGATTTAGGGTAGAGCTTTAAATGAGAAAACTACTTACTCCAAGAATTTTTTATTTTTTATTTTGTTAAAACGCAAGTTGTCTTAGAGTAAAATTTGTTTAAAAAATCTCGTATGATCTTGCATATTGACTGGCCAACCGTGTAATTTGTCATATCTATATCAATATACGACGAAAAAGAAAAAGAAATACAGCCCCAAAAAAGTGCTGTAACGTGACCTCTACCATTCATGGTTTGAAAAAAAAACTTAGTCACCTTATCTTTTTCAAAAATCTGACAACTTTTTTTAATACTTTTTAGAATTCGAAACTGTTCTCAAACGTTAAGGTCATTTATATGACTGATAATCTAATACTTTTAGCCAATCAAAATTAATTGTCTGATAAAAATTAAATACTATTGCTAACTTAGTCGATCGAGATGTCAATATCCAACTTTATATGACCAAGATTGTCATAATGTAATAGTAGGTAATACTATGAAACTAATTAGTTTCACCAGTGCATCATGGTGCAATTAATAGCCAGATTGGTGAAACTGGTAAAATTGATGAAATAGTAATATTGGTGAAATTGGTAAAACTGTTGAAACTGATAACACTGGTGATATTGGTGAAGCTGGTAATAAGGCCACGTCAAGCTAAAACTATGTTTAACATAACCTTTTTCTCAGATATAGGGGGTATATAGCATTACTTAATACAAAAACCATATTGATTGTTCAATAAAAAAATTTTTTAGCCAATCAAAATCTCATGTTTTTTACCTTCTGTTAAACATAAAATCAACTTGGATAGTGATACTGGTATCCCAGTGGCACTGGCAGATTTTCAAGATCAGGTGTAATGTGAAATCAAACCAAAAAATATCATATTTTAAAAGAACGCTATAACTCAAAAATTACAATTATGTAATCACCTTTTGCATATTAGTAAAAAATTTTCTTGCAAAATTTTAGTATAAAACAATTTCATTATAATTGTAAATCTAACCCTAATGTAGCGTTTTATGATTTAAAAAAATTATCAATTAGTATCTCAGTTAGTGTTGTTAATGAACATTTTTGAATATTTTTAAACAAAAATATACTATAAATTAAAATTACTTACAATTTTATTAAGATAATTTATATACTTTTCTAAGTAAAAAATATTCAAAATCTAAAAAAATATATAATCATATATTTTTTAAACAAATTTATTAATTATTAAAGTTTGAATATGTTCTGGATATTTTTGAATATTTGGATATTAGACATGGTTATAAAGCCTTAAACAATAAAAATATACAACACTAACCCTAGTGGCATCAATAGGTTTTCACTAATTGATAATTTTTTAAAATATATGCTAAACTATAGTTTAGTATGTACTAATGCATACAATTGTCACAATGTGATATTATCAGATTGGTAATATGCTATGGAATATAGTGCTCTGATAAATATATTCTAGAGTCTGTTTTTGTTTACTTTATGTTAAATAAATTCAAATAAGTATGATTTAATTAAATCTTTATTTTGATTTCATAAGACAATCTGTAACTTGATGTCATTTTACAATTCTTTTATAGTATTTGTATATGTACCTGTTTTGAAATCTACAAAATGTTTTGAATGATTAATAGTTTTATGTTTGAATTCTAATTCATCAATATTCAGATAATTTTTTTAATAATTTGTATAAACAATAGATTTTTTTTTAACATATTTATTTAAAATATTCTTAATTATTTCTTTATTACATTTCTGTACTTTTATTAAAAAACATTATTTTTATTTTGTTCTTTTAATACTACCAATAATCTATATATTATCAATAACTCTAATACAATAATATTTTCTTTTTCCAAATTTAAATTTATCAATTTTAACAATGATTCCTTTATTACCTATTTTGTCTTCATAATCTTTTAAAGTATCAATAACTAATTTTTAATATAATTAGGTATTGTATTTGATAAATAGTTTGTCATCTTTTTAATAAAATAATAATTGCATTTAGATAGTCAAAAATAGTCAAACATTATTATAAGATTATATTTTATATATTTTTTTAAAAAAAAGAAAATTTTGAATATCAAAACTAATTTTCTATACTTTTTATTTATACAAATGAATCTTTTATTATTTTAAGACAAGTTTATTTTATATTTTTTATATTCTATAGATCTATACAAAATATTATTATTGAATAAAATTTAATATATTCATTTTCATTTGTAAAAATTTTTTTAATTGAAATAAAAGTTGAATATGACATTGTTATTAAACTAAAAAGTAAAATATAATTTTTATATGAATACTAATTATATAACTAAATAAATAAAAATTTACAATTCTCTTTTTTCTTTTTTTATTATTTTTCTTTGTATCTTTAACTTTATAATAAACAAAAAAAATGCTTATCAATAAAAGATAACTTTTAATCAATCTTTATATTAGTTACATTAATCTAATTATTGTTTCTTGTTATATTTTTTCTTGTTATTTTTAATTCTTTGATGATTTTTATAAAAGAAATGTATTTGAATATTATTGTTTTAAAGATAAAGTTAATACATATTAAATAAATATTAATTTAGTTCTTAATATAATTAAAAACACAACTCTTCCTAATGATCACTTGTACTGAATTTCATACTAACAAAAACAGAATACTTATTGGAGAAAGTAGAAGAGACTATTATATAAATAATAGTTTTTATAAAGGTCAAAGTGGTTCTATTACACTGAACTCCTTTATATATTTAGCAAGCAAACTAAAAGCATACATATACAAGATAACTAACAGAAGGCACTCTTGTATAACAAATTTCAGTAGAAGTCTTAGCTTCTGTTAATGAAGTTAAAATAATAGACCTTATAGAAAAACAATAAGTAAGTTTTTAACACATTCACTAGAAATTCAAGGATATCTACTAACTGAATACTACTATTATATTCTTCACTTGGTTTTTGACAGAAGTTTTTACAAGAAGTGGGAATTTAGCATACCCTTTATGAAAGATCTACAGAAATTATCCATTTTGGGAATAGGAGAATTATCCCTTTTCTGGAATTAGGAGTAACTCTAATCAGAATGAAAGGGTCAGCTGTAGAACTAGTAGGGAAGAAATTAAATACTGACATCTCTATTATCAAATGACATTTATATATAGTATAGACCTATTTTTAGAATAAAGACTAGAAGTAGCAGTACTATATAATTTTTACAATTTGCTCTGACTAAAGCTTTGGCTCTCTTTTTTTTTTTTTTTTTTTTTACTATTACATGTTTGTTTTGCTGCTTTGTTTTGATTTGGGTTTTGTTTATTTACTTTTGGTTTTTTTAGTCATGTTTTTATTTGTATTCAATTTTATAATATCCCTCTTTTTTCGACTCTTTAAGAAGAAGAAAAAATTTAAAGGAAGAATTGAAGACAATTAATACTTGTCTTGGAAGAGAAAAATCCTTTCTGGTATAGCTTTAAGTAGCCAAATAAGCAGTCTACCTCTAATTGGAATAGTGCAGCAGATCACACTTAGGTACCAATAGGATGGCTTGGTAATGCTAGACTTAGTTATTAAGAAAATTCTATGTAGTTATTGTATATAGTTACAAAAATCTTAATAAAGTACTAGCATGACTGCTTAAGAGCAAAAAAAAAAAAATTTAGTTCTTAATACAATATAATCTTTTAATACTTCTCTTTATATCTTATTTTTAGTTCAATTTAGTTACAAAATATTTTTTTTTTCTTAATAATAATAATACAAAAATAAGTACATTTTTGGTTTAATCAATAAAATATAATTGTCTTAAAGTTTATATTAATCATATTAAAAATTTAAATTTTTATTTTCAGTTCAGTTTGAAACTCAGCATATAATTGAAAAAATATTTTCTTTTTAAAATTTGTTTATCTATTTTGCGATGAATTTTAGATTTTTTTTTGTACTTCAATATAATCAAAATTAAAATTTAGTTATCAATAAAAAATCTTAATTATGCTTCTGCATGAACTAATCAGTATGCAAATAGAAAAATTTATAATAAAAAAATTTTGATCAAAATATTGGTGAATAATAAATAAAGAATATGAAACTAATACAAAATCTGCAGGTTTCACATCTGCAAAGTTGTATAGTATAATAATACAAAATTTCATATAATTTTTATATTTACAAAAAATATTTCTTCTTACAGAATTTTGTTAAATATTATTAAATAAGAAGCAAATTAAATCTGAAATACTCATTATATTACATGATTAAAGTTCTATATATTTTCTGAAATTCAAAAATATATAATAAAAATCATCTGTTATGTTGTTTTATCTAATTAACAAAAATTTTAGTTTTTAATTTTTTCTACTTAATTAATTATGAAATTTCATATGTTTTCTAATTTAGTTATATACTAGAAGAAAAGATAAGTCTGACAAACAATAATCAAGAAAAAGAAATTGTATTTATACAAAAAAGTGACACAGAAGTAAAAAAGGAAGAGCAAGAACAAGAAGCCATCAAAATAGAAGTTGAAAAAGAAATTGATATAGTCGGAGAGCCTCTAGAAGAAAGTATATGGGCCCCAAATAAAAGGAACTGTAACCAAGACAACAGTCTGCTTGCGAATATACCA